TGGATTATATTAAATAATATTTAAAAGGAATATAACTTAAAATTATTTTGATATAATTATGTTAACTAAATTAATTAATTTTAAATTAAATATAAAAACCATAGAAAATTGAGAAAAAATATAAATATTTGAAAAAATAAATATTTTCAATAAATAATAAATAAAATCTAAAATTAAAGAAAAATTTAATGAAGATAATTTTTTGAATTTCTAATCCGAGCTTTAAAAAAATGGATAAATGTCGTAACAGAGTTTTAGGATTGTTACTACATTGAGAGGAGAATATATATATATATATATGATTTCATGTTGTTATAATAATTATTCCAGGAACTTTTATTTGGACGAGTTGCAAAAATAACCCAAAATATCGATCTTGACTTCAAAGGATGACCTTGACTTTTTTTTAAAAAAAAAAGACAATATCATCTCATAACCTTATAATTGTATCTTTCAAAAAATATTCTTCATTTTTAATTTTAATATATTATAGATCCATCTCTTCTCTATCCTCTCTCTCCTCTCCCGCCTCTCTCTCTCTCCTCTCCATCTCTATCGAATATCGTTCTGTGACTTGGAGCCTTCATCTCCATTTCTTTTTCAGCTAATTTATTTTGAAAAAACAATTTGGGTATTTCATCAATTAAAAACATATATGAATAAATGAAAGTATTGTTTATAAATTTCATTATTAAATTGGGAGAATCGCCGTAAAATACCTGTATTTTTTTCTGGTCTCAATTTAATACTTGTACTTTTTTAATTACTGAATAATACCTTTACAATTGGTTTTTCTCCAAATAAATCCTATACTTTTAAATTATTCGCCAAAAAATACCTACCGTCAAATAACTGCCACGTAGACAAACGGAAATCCTATGTAGCGGTGAAATTCTCAACCTCTCTCCTAATCATCGCGCCATGTTATCGCCACGTCAAAAATTAAATAAAAAAATAAATTACTTAATAATAATTAATTAATTAAATAAAAATCATAAAATAAATAAGAAATATATATATACACATACACATATATATACATATATGTATATATACATACGTATATAAATATATATATACACATATATACATATATATATACACATATAAACACACATATATATACTATATATAAATATATATATACATACACATAAATATACATATATATGAATAATAAAAATATACATATACATACACATATACATATATACATATATATACACATGTACATATACATACGTATATAAATATACACATCCACACATATATGTATACATATATATACATACATATCAATATACATACACATATATATATATTAATACATATATATAAACGTACATATATATACATATACATACATACATATACATTCGCATATATATACATATATATTATACATACACATATATATACATATATACATATGCATACACATACACATATATATATATACATACATATACAACACACACACATACATATATATACATATATATACAACATATACATATATATATACATATATATATATAAATACATGTATATACGTATATCTATATATTTATATATATGTATATATATATGTTTATATACATATATACATATGTATATATATACATACACACATATATATACCAATACATATATAAATAATATATATACATATACATGCTACATATATATACATATATATAAATATATAAATGTATGCATATACATGTATTTATATATATATATGTATATGTTGTATATATATGTATATATATATATGTGTATGTGTTGTATATGCATGTATATATATATATATGTGTGTATGCATATGTATATATGTATATATATGTGTATGTATAATGTATATGTATGTATTTATATGTATATATATGTATGTTTATATATATGTATTAATATATATATATATATGTGTATTTATATGTATGTATATAAACATGTGTATATATATATGTGTATGTGTATATGTGTATGTATATGTATATTTTTATTATTTATATATATGTATATTTTTGTGTATGTATGTATATATATATATATTTATATATGGTATATATATGTGTGTGTTTATATGTATGTATATATATGTATATATATGTATATATATTTATATACGTATGTATATATACATATATGTATATATATGTGTATATGTATATATATTTATTATTTATTTTATGATTTTTATTTAATTAATTAATTATTATTATTATTAAGTAATTTATTTTTTTATTTATTTTTTATTTAATTTCTGACGTGGCGATGACATGGCGCGATGATTAGGAGAGAGGTTGAGAATTTCGCCGCCACGTAGGATTTCCGTGTGTCTACGTGGCAGTTATTTGACGGTAGGTATTTTTTGGCGAATTATTTAAAAGTATAGGATTTATTTGGAGAAAAACCAATTGTACATGTATTATTCAGTAATTAAAAAAGTACAGGTATTAAATTGAGATCATGGAAAAGTACAGGCGATTCTCCCTATTAAATTTGAGCATTTGTGAGCATTTTTGCTTTGTTGTTTTCTCATATTTATATTTAATCAATATGAATATGGGTTGAATAAAAAATGACATATTTATCAGAAATACCATGATTCACGTTATTCAAACTGGTCGAAATCATTAAATTTGTGAAATTCGTCAAAACGGAAAAATTCAGAAAACTGGTCATACATACGTATCGGAATGGTTAGACTGGTCATACTTCTCAAAATGGTCATACTTGCGAAACTGGTCATAAATTAAATCTAAACGATTCGAAAAGTTGTATAGGGGTTATAAGTATACTTTTGCATCGTTTTGAATTTCTAATTTCACGCGAAAAAAAATCTTTCAACATAAGTCAATTGTACCCAATGTGTTACATAAACACTACTATTACTTTAGATCATCTTTGGAAAGAGTTACATTGTCAAACAAAAAATGTGCTCAATCCATATTGCTATGACCGATTTGAACTTGAAATATTTGTGATATGATATGATTATTACTAGTTAACACTTTTAAAGCGATGAATTATGCAATTTTGAATAAGTCTGACCGTATGACCATTTGGGTACGAAAAAAATGTCTAAATTAAATCTAAACGATTCGAAAAGTTGTATAAGGTTATAAGAATGCTTTTGCATCGTTTTGGAGTTCTAATTTCACGTGAAAAAAATCTTTCAACATAAGTCAATTGTATATGATGTGTTACACAAACACTACTAGTACTTTATACATTCTTTGGAAGGAGTTACATTGACAAACAAAAATACTTTTAAAACGATTAATTAATCAATTTTGAAGGAATATGACCGTCAGACCAAGGTATGACCATATGACCGATTTGAACTTGAAATATTTGTGATATGATGTGACTATTACTATGTTAACACTTTTACAACTATAAATTATGCAATTTTGAACAAGTGTGACCGTCTGACCAAGGTATGACCGTATGACGTCTGACCATAGTATGTCCGTCTAACCATTTGGATACAAAAAGGAAATGCCTAAATTAAATTTAAATGATTTGAAAAGTTGTATAGAGGTGATAAGAATACTTTTGAATCGTTTTGATATTTAAATTTCATGTAGAAAAAAAATCTCTCAATATAAGTCAATTGTACCCAATGTGTTATACAAACACTAGTAGTATTTTAGGTCTCTTTGGAAGGAGTTACATTGTTGATGACATCGTTGTTCTTGCCACCATGAGCAAAATCAGATCGATTTGACCAGTGTGGCATTTCAATAGCCAAAATTTCTCTGAGGATTTTAATCAAACGCTTTCTATACATTCTCAAAATTTTCAATTTTGATGTGTTGGATCTCGTTCTAGAGAAAAAATTTGACGAGTGTAAGCGTAAATGATATTGTTCCTTCGAATCGAATCGAAGTAAAACCCTAATAAACTAAAATTCAATATAAGAAAAACATGTTTGATCTACACTTTTAAATTCGTAAATTCATAATTTTTGAAAAAGTCTGACTAGTTTGGCCCATATAATCCTATGACCAGTCTGGTGATATGATCAAAGTATGATCGGTATGACCAAAATCTGACTGTATAACCAAAGTCTAATCGTCTCACCAAAGCATCATCGATTTGACCAAAGTCTAACCGTCTGACCGATTTAAATTTAAAAAACGTGCTATATGATATTATTATTATATCATATTAACACTTATTATATATAAATTTATCAATTTTCAAGAAGCCTGAATGTCTGACCAAATTCTGATTGTATGACCAATGTCTGATCGTCTTATCAAAGTGTGACCGGTATGACCTTTTTTTACACGAAAAATAAAAGGTTTAAATTAAGTTTAAATGATTCAAAAAGTTGTATAAGGGGTTATAAGAATATATTTCATCGTTTTTGGTGATCTAATTCTATGTATAAAAAAATCTCTTAACATAAGTCATATTCACTCAAAGTGTGATCGGCTGACCAAATTGTGAATGTCTAACCAAAATTTGATCGGTGTGACCAAAGTCTGACCGATATGACCAGTATGACGTTTTAAGAGCCAAATTTTTTTTGAGGATTTTTATCGAACATTTTCCATGCATTCTTAAATTCTTCAACTTTGGAATGTCTGATCTCGTCATAGTAGAGAAATATGTCGAGTGTAAGACGAAAATTGAGAAATTTGTTGTTAGAATCGTCAACGAAATCTATTTGGAGAGAAAAAAAAATTGTGTTTTGAATTTTTAGAAAAAGTGAGAATAAATTTTTCGAATTTTTTTTCAGTAATCTCGTGTTCAAATTTTTAAGGGTAATTTAATCTTTTTGTCATTTTAGTTTTTATTTTGAAAACCCTGAAGAGTCATCCTTGAAGTCAAAGATCGGTTATTTTTGCAATTTTACCCATTTATTTTCTTTCCTTAGCGTCTGACTTATCTTTTTTATTGTTTTTTTTATCCTTTTTATATTTTTCTTCTTACACATATATATATATACACACACATATGATTCCCCAACCAACAAAAAAAAATCTTTCGATTTATGTTCTTTTACTTTTCCTTCTCGATCGAGGGAGAGAGAGGCAATCGCCGGCGCTGAATAGAATTGTCAACCGACAGCTTTCGCCGAATCAGGTTCTCCTCGATTTGATCGATCTTCATCGTTGTACGACTCTTATTCTTTGCATTTCGACAGCTGGATTCTCGTGGAAAACCCCCGTGATTCAGCTCCTCTTTTGTCCTCTGTTCCATGATTTTTTCCAGTTTTGTTTTGAATTTCTATGTTCGATTGTGAGTCTTATATTTCGTCTCGATGGTTCTGAACCTGTGAATCATGGGATCCTTTGTTCGAGAGATGTTTGGGGCTGTGTATTTACTTGTGATTGACCTTCCCAAAGTCGAGGTCATTGCTCTGTTACATTCTCGCTTTCGAGAAATTGGTCCCTTATGGATGAATTTTTTTTATCTCTCGGATTCATCTTCGGACATAGGGAAGAACTTAATCTTTTGTAAGAAAGGCAAGAATCCTATTTTGGTTGTCTGATGTTGTGGAGCTCAATGTTCTGTAGAGTCTGCATTCCTTATGATGCAAAAGGATTTGTTGAAGGATCCTGTCTTGCCCGTATACTTGAACTGCTGATTACATGTCAGGTTGTTTCACCATGCTGATGTGTGAATTGCTACTTGCAAAGGAGCTAATACTTTAGACCACTTAGTTTCTAACTTATACATGATTATGTATATTTCTGCCTTCTGTGCATTTTTTCATCACTGGACTGTGGATATTTATTCCATCTAAGTTAACACTGAACGGAAAATCGTGTCGATGCAGGTAGCATCATGCTAATTTGATTAGATGAGATTTCAGGGGATAAGATTCAGTTTGAAGGCAGTAATAGTTCCTGATGGGTATAAAATATTTGCCCCTTTCGGTAGCATCAGCGGCTGTGAGCTTTGTCGGCCTTCAAGTTTGGACAGAGTTGTCTTTGCACAGACTTAGGACAGATGGGCTAATCACCCAGAATATTTCTTTAGGGGATTCCGAGCATGCCCTTGAACTGCTTCTGGGTTCTTTCACAACAATTGCATTGCTTGCAAATTTCGCTCTCAATGTATATATTCTTCTGGTTCTTTCTCTCAAGGTAAGAGCAACCTTTCTGCTACTATTGAACTTGAAGATGTAAAATTGTGAGTTTTGGGCTAACTTTCTTCAAAACACTTTAGGCATGCATATGGTTAAGGGGTTTTATCAAAGTGTATTACTCATATCCTTAAAGGTTGTCTTGCTGCGTGGAATTATTTCTCTGTGTCAATGTATCTGACATCTTGTTACAGATTGTGCTACAGTTTGAAGGAGAACCAATCTATAGTTCTTACTACTCTGGTAACAACTACAGCATCAAAATAGCTTCCATGTCCAAATAAAGAATTATGGAATAGGAAGCAAGCTTCTGAGATTTCCTTTGTCTTTCGCTGGTTAATAGCTTGTAGTGTATGATAAATATCTAGAAGATAGAACTCCATTCTGTCCATTGGCCTCAGCAGTGTGGATAATCTTGCTGTATACCGATTGGTATTTCTCTGCAGATATGTCTTTGGACCATTATGTGTGGTTCTAATGATTCTTGGATTTTCTTGCAGACTCTATTTTTCGGAGATTTGTATGCCGTTGAAACTAAAAAGTTACTGGAGCGCCTTGCGAATTACATTATTTACAAGGTAATGATTTATATTTTGATGCAAGGCAATAGATTTAGCAGAGGAAAACGTGCACTCTGTGTATATATGAGTTGTGATTGGTATCCATTACTGAATATCTTGACAACTGCATAAAAAGTTACATTTTTTACCTTACATGGATGTGTAATGGAAAAGGAGAAATAAATTTAAGTTGTGACGGTTTAAAAGATGTCTTAACTCAGACAAATACCTTTGTTATATTGATATGTTTTCCCCCTTTTAATTCTCCTGCATTAGCATCTCTGTTTCGTTTTGCTGTAATTTGAGTGCATTGCAGATCATGTGTATTCTCGATGTTTTTAGGGTACCTTCCTGCCACTAGTTGTTCCACCAACAATATTGCAGGGGGTCCTATGGACGGTCTGGCTGACTGTCCTGTGCACTCTAAAGGTATGAATAATGGATTATTTGAAAATGTAGGCTTTCTTGGTGTATGATAAATAAGCTTGAATTTTCTGCCAGATATCCTAATAGATATCGTGTAATATTGTACAGATGTTTCAAGCTTTGGCTAGAGATCGGCTTGAGCGATTAAATGCATCTCCATCTTCTACACCTTGGACATACTTTCGTGTGTATTCAGTGTTGTTCCTGGTTCTCGCTGTTGATCTCTTCTGGTATTACCTTTAGTTCTTGTGGTATAATGTCAAAACATTCAGTTTCAGCCATTTCTTTATATTTCTATGTAGGAAAGTCGATTTGTCCAAGGTGGGAAAACAAATTGATATATACATGTGATCGTTCTGTGCATGCCTGATACTCCTGATATTTTCAATTGAAAATCTGTGCCCTGTGAAAAATAATTTCGATCCTGCTCAGAAAACCAAATTTTCAAATGAATGTGTCTCTTAGATTTGCCCTAATCTGTTAAAAACAATTTGCTAAGTTTTGCACAATATGAATAGAGTCTCCAGTCTGCTCTCTATGTTTAGGATACTTGGTGAAAATATTTTCTTGATAAATCATCTATGCTTATTAATGTCCATATTGTGACGAAATGAAGGAAACTAAATGTGCTGCTGAATACACATGTCCTGTCCTGCCACTATGTTGAGCAAGGAGGATGTCACCTATGCGATTCCTTCTGTTTTTTGTCTGCAGTTGAACTGTGAAAAACTGGAAATACGTTTGAATCATATCCTATTCTGATCGAGTGATTATTACCAAGCTTGTCGTTCATGCTTAAACAATGTTTTGACTTCAAATTGCATATTTTTTGTTTAATTTTGCAGGATAAGGCTGTCTTTATTGATATACAATACAAATGGCTCATCTATGTACCTGTTATTACTTTATGAGCCATGCAGTATAGCGTTTGAGACCATGCAGGTACTTCAGTAGCATCAATTTCTTCAGTATTTAACTTGTTATATTTCGTTTCTTCTTTTTGAACTATGGTCGAAAAAACAGAGGGTTGATCATTGTCACAAAATGGATTGTTTTGTAGGCACTGTTAATTCATGGGTTTCAGCTGCTTGATATGTGGATCAACCATGTAGCAGTCAAGAATTCAGACTGCCAAAGATCTAAGTTTCTTGATTCTATGACAGCAGGTTTTGTCTTCTTCGATTTTATTATTTTTCTATTAGAATCCAGAAATGCATTCTCTTAAATATTTTTGGTCTATTTGAGCTCCACATCCGTGATGTGAATACTTACCTTTAATTATTTTTGTGTATCTGTGGTAGGCTCACTGTTGGAATGGAAAGGCCTCCTCAACCGAAACCTTGGTTTCTTCTTGGACATGGCCACTTTGGTAATGGCACTTGGCCATTATTTGCACATCTGGTGGCTTCATGGCATGGTTTTTCATTTGGTGGATGCAGTTTTGTTTCTCAATATCCGTGTAAGTGTCCTATGTGATCTTTTTATAAAGCGTTGCTCACCATGTTACTTATTGGCTGCAACCCCTCGTTTACTTTTTGCATTTGATTTTGGCAGGCCTTGCTTAGTGCGATTTTAAAACGTATAAGAGGATACATCAAACTTAGAGTAGCTCTAGGGGCACTCCATGCAGCACTTCCTGACGCAACTTGCGAAGAACTACGTGCATATGATGATGATTGTGCTATATGCCGGGTATGTTTTTGCTGTAGAGACATTTGCATATCCCCTTCTCGGTTTCCTCATTACCTTGTATATATTACTAATGACAGGAGCCTATGGCGAAGGCTAAAAGGCTTCACTGTAATCACCTTTTTCATCTTTCATGCCTGCGATCCTGGTATGCTAGCTATATCTGCCAACCTTGTGTTTATTTGCAGTTCTGTGGGGTCTGTCATTTTGATGATATTTAAATAAAATTGGCAGGTTGGATCAAGGTCTAAATGAGGCATACTCATGTCCTACATGCCGTAAGCCTCTTTTTGTTGGTAGAACTGAAAGTGAAGCAAACCCTTCCACAGGGGAAGTCTCAACTGATGAGCAGTTAGCTCGTCAGATTGACAGACAAAACAATTCTGAACATGCCATAGCTACTGGATTATTTCCTACGGAGATGCCAAATTCTGTTGAAAGTGATTCTTGGGGGTATGGTTCTTTGTTCAACTGTAATTCGTTCTTGGCTACTAGAAGTAACATTGTGTTTATGACTACATGATCCCCTTCCAGTCTTTCCGCCATGTTAAAGTACTAAATTTTGTTTGTGTTAAAAGTATATACGGATTGCACAGGAAGTTAAGTAGGTTTCGGTTTATGAGGATTAGTTTTGGTGCCTTTCTGTCGTGATTTCTTGTTCAGGAGTGACATTCTTGAGCTGGATCTATTTTGGATAGTAACCAGTTGTCACCCTTTTATCTCAACAAATAGGAATTCAGGACTGGATCCAAGCTTGCTGCAAACATGGTCGGGTCATGGTGTTGATGGAGCTGGTCCCTCCACAGCCACCGGATCCGTGGGGCTTGGACGTGTTCAGATGATGATGAGACATCTTGCATCAGTCGGGGAAAGTTATGCTCAAACTGCACTTGAAGATGCTGCTTGGGGTCTTTGGCCAGTGAATCCTTCCCAAGCATCAACTTCTTCTACATCCGCTCCTCCTGGTGTCAGTGGAAGAACTGCTGGTCTGCATCTGAGAACTGCCTCCCATACGGTGAATGACAACATGGCGAATATACTAGCTATGGCCGAGACAGTGAGGGAAGTCCTGCCACATGTGCCGGATGAAATAATTTTCCAGGTAAATGTTAGACGTGATCGGAACGCTCTCCGGAGGTCACTAAGGTCTTTTTCTGCATTGCATGGAACATAGGGACCTTCGTATTTGTTTCTTCGAAACTGAATTCTCATCGTGAGATCGATGGGCAACTTTTATAGAATTCCGGTGATTTCTAAAACCTTTCTGACTTGATACTAAGACCTACTGCAACTCGTTTTCTGGCAGGACCTGCAGAGAACAAATTCTGTTGCAGTTACAGTGAACAATCTTCTCCAGATGTGATAATGTTTTTTCAAGTCTCGAGCTTTTCCATTTCAAGCTTGATGATTCCTAGCATAAGATAAAATCGATCACTATCAGGTCACAACCTTCTCTTTATGTTTTACTCGGGAACCTACTACATCTTCTGTATATAGAGGCGGCTTGCCAGTCTTGCAAAGAGAAAGAAGAGGCTCTAGTACCTTTTGGTTCATTGTTCTCTGGCGGGAAAAAAAATACGCTCGAAGGTTCATGCCTTGGCGGGTCGGAGATATCTCATCACAGTCTCTCTCACCTTCTCGAGGGCAGTAACCAAATAGTGCGATATACTTGTGGGGCTGCTACTTTCTCTTCCTGTATAACAATGTGTATTTTTACAATAAAAGAAAAGCCAATTGAAATTGTATTGTTATTGATCCAATCCAATAGGTGTCTGTAGTGATCAAATGTGCAAACTCCTTGTGGACCTTTCTCTCTGAAAATGTAAAAGGTGTCTCCTTTATCGGCTTCTGTACAGGTTTTGGTGATTTCTTTGTAGGGAAGGGGGAGAGAAGATGGATATATTCTGAAGGCATAATCCAAGTTTATACAAAAGCAGGTACTAAGATTCGTTTCATGTGAACGCAGGCTTTGAGCAATCCAAGGAGACTGGCATGGCTTTTTGGAAGACAGATGTGTCCATCTTCGAGGCAACCACCATTATTAGGTACTTTTTTTCCCCTAAAAATAATGGCTTAAAAGGTTTAGGGTTCACATTTTATGATAAGAAGCTAGCATTTTGGTTTTCTATATAGAGTATTTACTGTGGTTTTGGGAATGGTAGATGAATGTGGGTGGGAGGGAGAGGAGACAAAAAGCATGAAAACACTCGTCTCGTTTTTCACCGACTTAGATTGTCGTATTTCGTTTGTTTTTGTCTCTCCTCACTATCTTTGTAAGACTTAGAGGCACTAACTTATACGTTTCAAAATTTGGATTTCAAGAGGAGTGGTTCGACGTCCTCTTGAGCAATGAGTTCAGTTCCTGCTGCTTCAATCCTTCTCATGTTCATATTCATCATGCACGCTTGTGATTCTCGTCGGATCCTCCATACTGTTTCCGACTCGGATTTCGGGTTTCAGACAAAAAACATGGTTTTGATCCATGTTTGATGTTTCATCTGTTCACTACAATAATGTCCCGAAGAGGCTCACCATTTCCTATTTCCCTCAGGTTACAGAGAAAACCAAATTTGGTTAAGTTTGCTCGAGAAAGCCGTCCACTTGGCCTCCCCGTCATAACTGCACTCTTCTTTACCAAAAAAAAAGTTTGCTCGAGAAAGAACGTTGTGTTCGTCTCGGGAAAAAAGCACGCAACGTCTCTAAAACGAGGATCCACTTCACCAGGCCCATTGAGAATCCCATTAAGAGGCACTCTAGGCCCATATTTAGATATAGGCCTGTTATGGATCCACAATGTTTGCTTTCTATCGTGACCATGATCACAAGTTGTAGAAGGGTGTATATATGGGTTGAAATCAAAATACCAATAGAGGGTATTTTTCCCTTCTTTTTCATAACTCAATATAGAATCAAATATTATTGAAACTAACAAACTATATTTTAATTTATGAATTCACAATTGTATTGGATATTTGCATGTGTACCTGTGTGACGTCATACTTAGGTCAGGCTTACGGCAGAGGGATGGAAACAGTGTGAGGCTCGACATTTTCTTGTTAGATTCTGTGTATGAGCCTTATGAGAATGGCCATGAACCCGCCACACATGTTTTTCTTCTCGACTTTCTTAATTTATATTTATGTATATATATTTTTAATGTAACCGACTAATAATTATACAAACAACCATTATTCATAAAACTTTCCACATAACCAATTCGGAATTCAATATGAATTTTTTTGTCTGAAAAAGGAAAAATAACAAAAACTACACGAAGTTATCAAAATGTGTTATAATTGTATACATATCTTTAATTCGACCAAAAACTATTTTCGAATTCAAAATATGCTAAATACATACATCAAATTTCAAAATTATTAACAATTTTTTATACAACTTTAAACGGCATTAAATTTCACTAATTACCGTCGGGATGTCACAATATACTATTAATTTTTCTATATACAATTAATAAAAATAAAAATAAAAAATAATATCAAAGTATATATATATACATACGCACATATATACGTATATAGAGATATACATGCACACATATATATTATATATACATATATAGATACATATATATGGGATGTAAAATAGACGGTCGATCGGGTTCGATTCGTGCAATTACTTAGAGCACAGGCAATATTATTGTTAGGTATTAAGGAAGGAAACGAATTGTGGGTATATGCCATTAGTCTCTGTCGTGCCAAAAGAAAGCAATGACATCTACTCTCTAAGAGACCTTCAGAGGTAACAAACATATCAAAATGTTTCAGTTTCCAGATGAATAGAACGCCGATTTAATTCACATTTTCATCGAAGGTGACAGAGTTTCTCAAGTCATTGATGGCATGGAAGTGATCGACGGATCAGTAGAGACAATTGACATGAAAGATTCGATTACAGAAGATGAAAACAAAGAGAGACTCAGGTATGAGGATCCAAGAACGAACCGTTGTATGAGATTCAAGTCATCACTCTGCCCATGTGACAATCTCATACGGGTCATCCAGTCACTCGTTCACAACGAGTACCCATGATTGTGATATGCATCCAATGCGTTGATCACACCTCATGCTAGTCTTAATTCATTATTGTTTCCACAATGATAACTGTCTAGGGAGTTTAGAATCATTCTCTAATGATTCAAGGATACCGAAATATAACAAACATGTCAATCATATAACGAGAAGAGTAATGCATTCATAAACCAACGAATCAATACAAATTCAAAATGTCATATCACGGATCATCCTAGATCATTACAACCAACACTGTCCTCAATCGCACACATCCCAGAAAGTACTTCTCAGGAGGTCACCCATTCTAAGACTACTCCAAAGCAAGCACACTTAACTTTGGAGTTCTCTCGAGATGAGCAACCGAAAAGGTAGATGCATCTTGTTGCTATGAGTATCTCAATCAATTCCTTTAAGTTATCTTTGACTGTGTAGTCTCATACCTACACAGCACTCTGATCTCTCTCATTCTGATGTGTCTAATTCATCCCTGTACCCCTACCCAGAAGTTCGTTAGGAGCCGTACATTGTCCATGCCTCTCGCCCCAACGATCACTCTCCGCCCTCCTATGGTTTTCTGGGCTGTCACAATATGAACCTCAATGAGTAACCGTAAATCACAACAAATATGGTTACTGGTTCAAGTATCAAGGATCCAGGTCTGGGTTAAATGGGTGAGGCAAGGAGTAAATGTAAAAAGAATATAAGATGAGGGATAGTGAATACCTGGGGATGGGGTGGCTATGGAACCTGAATATGAAGGAGAATTGCTAAGAGGTCTGAGTTGAGTCTAAAACTGCTCAATCAACGCTTGAGCCTCAGCCAAAGTTCTTGAAGTAGCAGAAGACGATGTAGAGGAGTCCTGCGTGACCAGATTCACAGAGGACAGAAACTTGGGAGGTGTAGCAGTCACAGGTGTGGGCAACAAAGGTGGTTTATTGCGCCAAGACAAGGTTGAAGAAGAGCCTGTAGTGCGAGAGTTGGGAGGATACCCATGAACTTTGTAGCAACGTTAATGGTATGCCCAGTCATACCACAATGCGAACAAACAGGACGAGGCTTTGTCGAGGTTGTAGCAGAACCACGGGATCGAGTAGGTGAAGCAGAGGAAATCTGAAACACTAGGGTATCAGGGAAAGAAGAAATAACCTGACGTTGATGTTCCTCATGAAGAATCATGTTGTAAGCCTTTGCCAGAGTGGGAAGGGGATCTTGCATCAAGATCTAGCGACGAGCCGAATAATATGATTCGTTGAGTTTCATCAGAAACTTAACGACATGTTTTCTGTCAAAGAGCTCATGCATCTTGGTTCCCGCCTAGCAAGTGCATCCATTGCAGGTACACATGGGGTAGGGTTCATAGTTTTTAAGTTTCTCCCACAGAGAGTTCGGCTTGGTGTAAAAGGTGTTTAGATCCATCGAACCTTGATGGAGAGCATCAATCCTCTGTTCAATGTTGAAAATCTTGGAAACATTATTTCTGTTTGAACTGGGATTCCAAAGTTGACCAGATGAGACTCGCCTCATCTAGATACATGAGAAAAGTAGCGATGTCCGGCGAAACAGAGTTTGTGATCCAGGTGCATATGAGAGCATCACAGCGAAGCCATGAGCTGTAGTCAACATGATCTACAGAGGGTTTGGAGACAGTGTCGTGTATGAACCCAAGCTTGTTCTTCGTGGTTAGCGCTTTGGTGACAGATCTCGACCAAAGAGTGTAGTTGGATTCACCAGTGAGTTTATCAGAAACCAGAGTAAGACTAAAAGAGTCGGCAGGATGAAGAAAAAGGGGGTTAGAATATGGATCAGAGTTGGGGAGTGGGATGGGTGCAGCCGAGGAGATACCAGATGTAGCTGTCGGTGGAGAAGGAGGTGAGGTATCCATGGCGAAAAGAAACGGGGATGAAAAAGAAAAGGGTAGGTTAAAGAGGAAAGGAAACAGGGGAGAAAAAAGGAGAGGACGAAAAAGCTTAAACGAAGAAGAGAATTGGAGCGCTAGGGTTGGTCTCTGATACCATTTTGATAAACAGAGAAATTGTCATTGAAGCTCAGAAACTTTAGCGAGAAAGCTTTAAAGGAGAGAGAATTGGAAAATTTTTCTTGTGGATTCCTTCACTGTACTTCTCTTTATACTTCTCTTTATATACAAGAAGGAACAATGCAAAAGGCAAAAAGAAAAAGGCTATTCTACTACGGACAGTAAATAACAACCCTACAATATATCATTATTAAATAAACCAGATAATGTTGGATTGGTACAAGGGATAGCGAAACCAAGTATAACCGAAAAATACCATCATATCAATATTCCGTGAAAGAAGAACCTCGGAATTAGAATGAAAGAGATCGCATGAAGACTTATATATATATATATAGTCGGAGATCTTTCTTTTTTCCGACCAATCTCTTTCTCTAACTGTAAGTTGTCCCCTCTCAAGTTGGATTCCTTATCATATGTTTAACATATATGTGATATATAAAACAAATTCTCTTCAGCGGATTTTTTTCTATATTTTATTGGATTTTGAAATTAAATTTTTTATTTAATCTCTTGAACTTCCACTTTTATTTATAATTAGTTTACAATTAATCATGATAATAAGATTTAATATTACATTAAGATAATACACACACGTGTATATATATGGATTAAATGTATTTTAATATCCAATAACTCCAATCCACCCGGTATTGGGTCCAAAGAGCTGCAGACCGAACCCTCGCTTGTTGGGCCCAACGGGAAATGGCGGGTCGCAATAGGTTCAAAGGATAACAAAACCGGTTTGACTTCGGTTTACGAAACCACGAAGTTTACCTCG